AAAAGCCAAGATGAAACACCAGAAACGAGTTCAATGACTGTGGCGAAGAAATTCGCCAGACTGCGAGTGGATTGGGACTTTTTATGAATCATCATCGCCGAGCAAATAGTCAGTCAGTCAGCTAGCCAAACCATCGACTTGTTACAAATCGTCTTAATGATAGATACCATGAGCAAGAAAGTCGATGTGCATTTTTCGGTTTGAACGCAAAATCTCATCGAAAAAGAAACTTTGAAACAAAAATGATCAGCAGCAGCAGCAGCTAGAGAAGATGAAGAAAGAAAGAAGGAAAAACTACAACATGCAGCCACTAAAGCTGTTCCATAATGTCTTTCGAAAACTAAATGGCCAGCAATGAAAAAAAAGAGAAAAATTAAAATTTTGGTGTTAGTTATTTTGCAAAACTTGCAATCTTCAACACACGAGCAGGCTTTCAGGCCAACTGACTGGTTGGCTGGCTGGCTGGCCAACTGTCTGTGAGATGAACAGACTGAAAGCGGCAGTGATTATTGCCTGCTTCGTCAACACCATCATAAAGTTTCAGCCGAAACAATTAAATATTGTTGCCACTACAGACATGCATTTCGTTACGGTTTTATTTTGAGTTTTAATGTCTTCTTCTTCGTCATCGTCTTTTTTTCATTACGACTCTCGATCTTCATCGACCGACTAGCAGATAGTTTTCGCATTAATAACCATGGCTTTGATTAAGGGCAGAGCAAACAAAACAATTGTCTTGCATGGCATTAATTTGGCCATTGAATGAAGACATCTCTATTTTATTAAAATATTATGTATTCTAATTATGAGAAAACAAAATCCTCCTGAAAGGATATAAAAATATGTAACAAATTCTTTACAATCTATGTGCATAAAAGAGGAAAATGTTTGTACGTTTGATTGTTTGTAATTTATAGACACAAAAACTGCTAAATAGATTTTCCTGAACATTTTCATGTACACTGCAGCATCGACTGAAAGTAATATACGCTATATATTTAGATTTGGATATAGCTCTCATATATATTTTCGACCGATTTCGTTTATTTGATGTTCAATTTCAATTAAATTTGTAACGTTTGACGAGATTTGGATCAGAAAATAAATTTGTCAATTTATATTGAAATCGGTTCAGATTTCGATATAGCTCCTATATATATTTTCGGCCAAATTCTCATATTTGATGCACTAAACACGATACGTATGTCCGATTCCAATGAAATTCGGACAGAGAGATGAAATCTGGTACCAAAAGAAATTTGCCAAATTATATTTAAATCGGTTGAGGTTGGGGTATAGTTCCCATACATATATTTCGGCCAATTTCATCTACAGGGTTGCCCATATTCGACGGACCTTTGGGCCCATTCCAATCGACAAGTCTTGTCAGCAGGCAACATTCTTTGCGTCAATTTTGTACGGGAACAAATGCAAATCAATGCGAATAATCCGTTGTAAAGTGGATCGAGCCATGCCCAACTGCTGAGGACGGCGTTTTTGGGATGTTCTTGGGGACCTCTCAACACTGGCTAGTACGGCAGCAATATTCTCGGCCGATCGCCTTGGTCGACTTTTATATGGCCTCTTCTATTAGAAAGAGCCTGACCAGTCGAAATTTTTTCGTATAAACGCTTAATGGTGTTCTTACAAGGCGCACATCTCACATTTTTTAATGTTTTAAAAGCACGTTGAGTTTTCACAATTGACTTCTTGTAAATTTCAACTATTTCAGAGCGCTCGCGTGGCGTGTATTGGTTCATGGTAAAAATTTGCTTGGACTGACGCTTCAAACGCGGTATGTCATTAAGCGATGTGACATCTCTGTCAAAAGTTATGGCGTTGCCAGATGGGTCCGTCGAATATGGGCAACCCTGTATATTATGCACCAAATACGATAAATATGACCGATTCCAATGAAACTCAGAATGTGTGGCGGAATTTGGTTGCAATAATAAAGTTTACAAATTAATTGGAAACCGGTTAAGATTTGGATATAGCTTCCAAATATATTCTCGGCCGATTTCACATATTTGACGCACTAATTTCAATAAAATATGGAAGATGTGACGGAATTTGGGGTAAAAGTAAATTTTGTCAAATTCTATTAAAATCGGTTAAGATTGGGATATGATTGTAATGGTATTAGGCTAACAGTAAACAACTACACAACAATTTAATTGAGGATACGATTATTACGGGGAAGTATGTTGCTACCTCGAATTCTCTAATTGCAACAGAAATGCCACTCAACTTCAAAAGATTGCAGTTTCCTGCACGCTTGGCATTTGCTGTGAAATTAATAAATCCCAAGGATTTATTAATGATTAATGATTTTCTCATGGTCATCTGTTCCTGACATGTTTACGTGTTGGTAGACCGAGCTATTTGTTTATGTACGCATAAAGTATTACAATAATTTTTATACCCTCAGCCATGTGGCCGCAGAGGGTATATACAATTTGGTTTTAGACCCTAGGTCTCTTTGGACCAAATCCGTTTCAGAACATTTGGAGTCGATCTAGCGATGTCCGTCCGCCCGTCTGTCTGGCTGGTGCGCACGATAACTCTCGAAGGGAGTATCCGATTTGTTTCAAACTGAGTACATCGTAATATTTTTGTCAAACTTAGATCGAGTTCGGAGATGGGCAATATCGGTCCACTCCTTCTGGTACCTCCCACACAACAGGTCGAAATTTCCAAAAAATATATTTTTTGCACAGAAAGAGAAAGGATAATCCGATTTTGCCCCAACTTTGCAAATCCTGATATTTGCGTCAGTGCTAGTAAAGGTGTGAAAATGGACAATATCGGTCCACTCCATCAAGTACCTCCCCACAAATGGTCAAAATTTTGAATAATTACAACTCTCATAATATGTGATGTAAGAGTCAGATTCCCTCCTAATTTCGCAAATCCTACTATTTTTATGGAAGTAAGACGGAATATATCGGTCCACTCTATCTGATACCTCTCCCACAAACGCTCAAAATTTTCAATATCCATAAAGTTCACAAAAAGCGAAATCAACATCAGATTCCATTCCAGACATGGTACATTTCAATATTTCCATCAACACAAGATCTGTTATAAAAATGATAGAATGGGGCTACCTGCCCCACATAGGGTTCAAATTTTTGAAAAACATAACTTGCAAAGAAAGCGAAATAAGCTTCCAACTCTTTTCAAATTTCACACATACAAACATTTTTACTAACACAAGATCTGTTGTGAAGATGCTATATATCTGCGAACCCCTTCTGGTACCTCACCCACAAAGGGACAAATCTAAATATATGTCTCTCATCCAGAATCCTGATATGAATATGGAATTTATGATTTACCATAAATTGGGTATAAATGTTCGATTTTCTTATATATTTATACCATATTTATTTGGGTCCGATATGAAATGGACAATTTTGACCTATTCTTTCCGAACCCACTCCATAGTTTAAAATTCATAACAGAAGTCAAAATATTTTAAAATAATCGAACATTGGCTGAGGGTATACAACTGTCGGCACCGATATCGACCGATACTCTTTTACTTTTTTTTAATTTTTCTATTTTTGTTTTTAGACCAACAAATATTTGTATATAAAATTTAGTCTCTCAAAAAATGTGAAATAAGCATCAGATTCTTTTCAAATTTCACACATACCAATATTTCTATTAACACTAGATCTGGTGTGAAGATGATAGATATAGGCCCAACTCTTCTCGTATCTCCCCCACAAGAGATAAAAATTTCCCTATTTAAAACTCTTATAATTTGCTATGAAGTCAGCGATTCTTTCAAAATTTGGTAACCTGAGATCTGACGTGAATAAAGAATTCATCGGCTCATTCTCCCCCACAAAATGTTTATATTTTGATTAATTATTCGCATAAACATGGAATTATCAATATTATTTTTAGAATTGGATGAAGTGGAATACTTCATTATCTGCTTCCTCATACACATTTCCTAATTTTCCAAAAATTATATTTCTCATGCAAAGATAAATGAAGTAGTCGATATAGCCAAAATCTGACATATTTATATCAGACTTAGGTCAGATACGAAATAGACAACGATGACCCACTCCTTTGGAGCAGTTCCAAACAAATGATTAGAATTTAATTAAATAAAACAAAAGACTCAAGAAACGAACTTGATATTAACGAGGCGGTACAGTTTGTCTTTGTGTTGTTGTTGCTATTGTGGCTTAATTCATTCGGTTGATGACTAAAAATATGTTGCAATCACCATCCATCCGTCCACCATCCGTCTATCCATCCATCCATTATTGTGGATGGCTGTTGCTGTCGATTGTTTCCATTGCCGTTGATTGGAAAATGATGTTAACGCTAAAAATCTAATGGTTCATGTTTACGGCTAATGTTGCATGGTTTCTATTTGGCGTTTTTCATTTCAAAAGTCATTCTTCACTCGAGCGTTGCAATTTCATCAAATTAAAGAAAACAGCAGCAACAGAAACAAAATGCGAGAGAAAAATCAAAGCGAATGGTACGCTTTTCGTAAGCGAATATGTTTTCAATTCTTTAATTTTGTTTCAGCTGTTGCTGTTGTTGTTGATGAAATTAAACTTGGTACAGGTGGTGAAAATATTCACACATACATGCAGACATACCGAGGCATTGTTGGCCGTATGTCTGTCTGTCCGTCCAACGATGCATGCAGTTGTTGTCTACTTTGCTTTGGTTTAATATCTTTTTTATGTGTGCTTTCATTATTGCCTTTTTTCCGTTAATATTTCTGTTTTATAATTTATTTTTTTCGTTTTTGCTTTTTTGGGCCATCAATTGTTTGTTATTAACACTTGCCTCATTATGAGGCAAGTGGCTAGCTCAGCACGCAATTACATTTAATGTCCAGAAAATGAATTTCAAGTTGGAAAAGCATAAACATGGATTGCAGTGGTAGTTGGCCGAAACCGCCACCACCACCACCATTACAATTATCAAAAAAAACAGAAAATATTAACCAACATACATACCTACTTAGCAGTTGTTGAAAAATTCTGTAACCATTACTCATTCGAATTGCTCTGCTTTCGTCGGCTTTTGGTTCAATTTTATGTTCATGCTGCCACGGAGCAATTTGACCGATATTTCTGTTTCTGAATTTTCTTCTTCCTCTGGTCTTTAACCAAGCAGCGTCAACGAGTGTGTTTGTGTATTGCTAAACTGCAAGAAGTTCGGAAGTAGTTTTATGACTTTTCATTAATTCCGCTGTATGTCGGTGTGTAAGCATATGAAGAATGAGGTTTATTTCACTTGTTGTGAACGAGCATGTATGTTACTTCTTGTTTCTTCGTCTTCTTCTTCTTCGTTGTTTTTTTGGTAACAGTTTGCAGCTCAAGATGAAATGAAATACAAAGTGAATTTAACCTCTTGAAGCGCTCGCTGTGTTTGATTTGGCTAACGTTACCGGTTTGTTGTTGCTCTTTGCTATGGCCGTGTGCATGCGCTGCCGCCGCTGCGTCTTCGGCTTCGTTCGTTGCTAGCCCGCTTGCTAACGTTATTGTTGACGAACTGCTACTTGCTTGATTTCCCCTCAAACCGTGCGGACTGATGATCATACGATTTATATAGCAGCCAAACATGTTTCTTTGGTATACAGTTGCAGATTTAACTCCGTACGAGACGGTCGTTCGTACATTCACTCTCGCTGTTGTTTGTTTCATACACATACCGCTTTTTTGGTATTTCGGTTTCGTTCGATTGGTCCATCTAACGTCCAATTCGTGCCCATAGTTCCTGCAACATTTGGATTATCCTTCCAAAACAAATTTTTTGTGGATTTTTATAAATTTAAAGCAAAAAAAAACTTTCAAGGTAAGAAATTGAAGGGAGGAACAAGAATTTCCAAAAATTAAGAAAATAAAAATGCTAATGTGACAAAAAATTAATTGTGAACTGTGAGCCAGAGGAAGAACTTTTTTTAAATATTAAAATGACAAGTGTGTTTGAGCGCAAATCAAAAGTAAAATATGAAATTTGGATTGATTATCCCATAATCCAAAAAAAAAGAAATATAAATCTCGATCAGTAGTTTAATAGTATTTTGAAATCACCGATCTGTGTTAATGACCATCAATATGTAAATATTATACGGTGAATCCTCAAACTAATCTCAAGTATACCTTAAAGGTTAAAATCCAAAAAATCGTTTCGATGTGTCTGCATCCAATGGCGGCTTCGGATTACTCCCCGACCTTTGGTTCAGGTTTAAAGGATTAGCAAAATTTTTGGTATTATATCCTGAAAATTTAAATTTATTTTTTTCAGAAATTTAATTTTCCACGATTCCCACAAAACATATGTTTTAGTTTGAGCTTTGTCCAAAAAGTATGGGAATGAAAAACAAGCAAACATTTCAATACTAAATAGCAATCCTGCAAAATCAAAATTCTACATTTATGTGGCATACTTTAAGGCGAAAACAACCATAACAACCGTGATTTGCAAGGCAGTCATTGGTTATGAAGAGAAATCATATCTTTTGTGTCTGCCTGATCCTCTCACATTTGGAGAGAGAAGAATATTGAAAATAATCCCTTCAATTCAGTTCCCATTGAAAACATAATGCCAAATACCGATAGATTTGATGGTGTTCTGAGTCATGAAATATAGGCAAATGTATGCCACCTGATTTTCAATTTAGAATGACAAACAAGCTTTTATAATTGACAGAAGTAAATTGAGTTTCGGCAAAATTTGCAGACGAAATAAAAAATGCAAAACGGAAAGAGAGGGCGAAAAGAGCACTTCAAAGAAGGGACACAAAAATTGACTTTTGTTTATAAGTCGTACTCTTTCTAAAATATATGCTCTGTTAGAGAACTGCAATAGTTTAAAAGAAATAGTTTTACTACGATATTCGATTTTCTCTCTATGATATCGAAGTTAATTGCAAAACTAGAAGATACTTGCAGGTTCTGGAATGGAGCAATAAATTGACTTTTGATTAAAAATTAGAAAACCATTTTAAGTTTCTTGGAAACCCTCGAAGAATTGAATATTTTCTTGAGGATCGAAATCGACTTTTGTTTTACCACAATACTTGCTGACCTACAAAAATGTCATCATAAGCCACTAATATATATTTTGTTCGTCCTTGATCTATTGAAAAGCTTTAGGCAAGCTTACAATCCAAAACGAAGGTCACATACGTCAAATATCCTGACCCATTTTACTTTCAAATTCAACCTTACCGAACTGAAGAAATGAGGAATCAAGAATAACGTATGTCTCATTTCTTTGTGGCCACCTTGCTACCTTTTTATTTCTTCGACCATAGGTCGAGAACACAAGTCTGCAATGAAATTATATTCCCTTCTTTATTTCAAAGGAATCGATCCAGAGACTACACCATATTTCCTTTACAATGATTTTTTACTTATCTCTGCTTAACCCAGGTGAACAAAAATGCTCAATCTTTATCCTAAAAAGTTGGAAGATGAACTAAAAAAATCATTGCATACTTTTTGGCTAGCATTATACCTTGATATTCCACTAGAGTGTATGCTAGCCAAAAAGTATGCAATGATTTTTTTAGTTCATCTTCCAACTCCGTAATAAAATCGAATTTTGTGGACTTTGGGTTGAAAAGAAAATTTCGTTATAAAGTATCGAACCCCCGATAGAACCCCCGACTTATATGAAAAAGTCTTCTTCATCACTCGACTAGTGATCATAAAGCAAACCATGCATATTACGATATTGTTAATATCGTTGCTGTGTCTGTCATATCGAAAGGTTTGATTGATTGATCAAAGTATATCCTTTCAAAACGGTATCACCTACTTTATCCTCTTGAAGTGCTAAAAATGTCTCTTTCCGGTTTCAATTATTTCGTTCCTTCACACAAATTCGTAAATTTAATTATAATAGGAACAATACGTTTCATTAAAATGTTGTTGACTTTAATTAAGAATTGCAACAAATTTAAACGAGTTTATTTTTAAACACAAAACCTGACACATTTCTTCAATCTATATCCGCTGGACTTTGATTTTGTTCTGGACGGAATTATAACGTTCATTCAATAGCCCTGACATTAGAATATTCAAATAAAGCTTTCTCCCGTACTCTCTCTCTCACTCTCTCCCTCTCCCTGTAAATAGAAAATAAATAATAACAATGAGATAAATTGCAACCACAACAACAAAAACAACAACATCAACAATTTGATGTCATTCTCAAACTGGTATTTGCATAAAACTCTAATATTTTAGATTTTGGACATTGTCAGTTGTATTTTTTTGGGGGGAATTCAGTTTAAATTGTAATACTGACACAATTTTGGTATTTTGTGTTTTCGATACTTTCCCACAGCCATGCTTGGATGTCCAGCATCCTCTTTATGGTCATCATTGTCATGGTTCATATTCATTATGATGTTGGGAATTTTTGAGGTTTCTTGTTTTTTCAGTGTTGATTAACGGTTTTGCGAGGATGTTGGCGATGCGGTAACATTCACTTTCAAAACACCAGCAACGATGTTGGGTTTCCAACAACAACAAAAAAACACACATTATCCCATACAACCATTCAAGTCTAACCATATCAGACACTAGGAGGATTTGGTTGTTATGTATGTATGTGTGTGTGTTGAATATTATAGTCATTGCATGTAAGAGCAAATTTTGGCACCGGTAACCTGGTTATCCAGCCTTTGCTGCCTAGTACACATTTGTGGTAACCACTAAATCGCCAACAACGACTTGGCCCAAGCTTTTGTAGCAACTCTTGCTGTGTTTTTGTTGCAGCATTGATTGCAACACGAACTAAACAAACGACCAACCAGGCAACCTATCTACCTCCCAACCAACCACCATCTAACCGGTTTAGTTAGTATGATGCCTGCTTTGTTCCCATATGTTTTTCGTTGTTGGCTTAAACGACAACATCGCTTTTTTGCAAACCATGACTTTTGCTTTTCATTTCCATGTTTCTCTTTGCTTAATTTCTTTACAAAATATTACAACAACACCATTATAAATGACACAATTGCTAATGTGTTTCTTTGTCTGTTTGTGTTTGCGTTTGTTGTTGTTATTGTCAACAAAAGATTATAACATCCATAAAAAGGTTAGGTTGTTAGTTTGAAGTAATTGCCGAAATGTGTTTTTATTATTTTGCCTTTTTATTTATTTTTATTTTTTAATTATTTTCGGGGCTATTATGTGTTAAGTGAGGCAATGTTTTGTTGCGTGTTTGTGTTTCGGATGCTAGTTAAAAATATATTATTTTAATTTAATTTTTACATATAGAAAATTTATAGCTACTCACAATTACGATGGTACACTTTCTCCGGGAATTTTTCAGCATACCTTGGAAATGGCCAATTTTTTAAGTCATATTTGACTTTGATGTAGAGTATTGCCGTCTATTTTCTTCCCATCCCTAAAATAAAGGCATAAATTTGTTTCAAAATAGAAAATACAACATTTTTACGATAAACCTATCTTTGGGTAGACTAAATATCCATTTTTTTATCTGCCACGGGTACTAGACCAGTAGTGGAATTCTCTAACTCATTTTATGAGTTACTGACAAAAGTCGGTAAAATTAAAATGCAACATTTTGGCTTTCAAAGTTACCGATTTTTGTCGGTAACTTAAAAAATGAATCCCACTAAGGGAAGTATTTACAGATTAGAAATTTTCATGAAATATACCTAAATTTTCGATTAACTAATTCTTGGCATTGAAACCCCCTAAAATATATGTCTTTTTTTGCTTTGATTTTCAACTCTTTCAATAAAGTCGATTTTGGACGACTGTGTAAAAATCGCAAATTTTGTTATAGCTGAAAGAAGAAAATAGAGAGACCGAAAAGTGAAGTATATTCTTGAAGGCAAAAGTTGAAATTCAACTTTTAATCTCTACTAGTCATTCATGGAAATGAATATATTGCCATGTTTACGTTAGAACTTTTTGTAGGGTTAACCTACTTTGAGAGGATTTATTTGAAGTAAAAGTAATGGGTATGACAATTTAAATCCAAATCCAGTGGGTTAACCCTCATATATATAAACGTACTATATAACTCAAAATTCAGCCAATTTGGTTTTCCACAATCCAGTTCAAAATTCTGAATCTAAAATCGATTTTAGTAGGCTTTAGGCTGGAAATGATCGAAAATCGATTTTTAGTTATTCGGAGGAGATCAATAGGCAGTTAAATTCCAGATATGGTCTCAAAACCCGATTCGATAGCATTTCCGTGTACACTGGATTGATAAAAATCAGCGAAACCTTTCTACTACCAACGTCATCTATTGAGTCAAAGCTACAATGAAGTGTCCATGTATATGATATATATCATGCCTGTTGAATTATTATTCCATATTTCCAATTATTTCAAAAATTAAACTAAAAAAGGATCCCTTCCTGCTCACCCTCCCTCCCTTCGTTCTAATATCATACATGTGACTTAATATGACTTATCCAACTGTGCACACATTAAGAAGAGTAAATCTTTGCGTTTTCTATGAGCATTGTGTTGAGTATGTGTCAAATCCATCACGCCGATTGCGAGCACATCAGGGAGCTGTCAACAGAAACTGTGAGGCCAACAATTACCACAAAAAAAGTGCGATTTTTATAAGTATGCCGACTGACACAGAAAGGCCAATGAGTTCAAGAGAGTCTAGACATATCTAGCAATCTACCCCGCAGACAGACAGACGACAGGCACTTGTAACATAAATGCCAATGGCGAATACCAAGCCCCGGCCCAGCAAGTCAAGTTCAAAGTGCTTGTCAAATGTAAATTACCTCCCACCCAGCCAAGAAACGTGGAAAAAAATACAAAAATTACCAAATGACTTGTTGTAAGGTACCTCACGGAATGTCTCGAACACAGCTCCCCAAAAGCACCGTTAGATTAAAGAGATGATAATAATTGAAATCTGTTATGGCTTTTGATAAATATTTACTTAAATGATTGTTGCAAAAATGTGTGAGTGTGTGCGTGCGTGTGTCTGTTTGTGCATTATGCCGCAGATATGCTACGTCTTTATTATCTTCACATTTTTGAGGTTTTGGTTTTATTGTTTCTGTTTTTTTTTTTCTTGGGGCAAAGACAGACAGACAGATATATAACCTTGTATAAAAATTTGGTAATTTCACATGAAAATATTTATTTTTTAATACCATCATAATGTTGTTGGTCGCTTTTTTGCTGTCGTTGTTGTTGCTGTGGTTTGTTTGATTGTTTAGTTGGTGGGTTATTTTTTCAGGTAAATTACTTTTTTTTTATTCACGAAATTGCAATATTCCCCACTAATGGCCTATGTTGTTATTTGCAACGGAAAACCTGAGAGGGAAAAGTTCGTAATATATATATTTGTTAAATTGTTTTTCGTTTTATTTTTTTTATCTTACCACAGTTTTTTTCCTAAATGAAACGTTGGCAAGAGTTGATATTAAATCAACTCAACCAATTAAACCAATTAAATACTGGGCTAGAAAAAGGAAAATTAGTTCAAAAAATGAGAAACCAATTTTTCAAAGTTTTTTACTTGGGCACCCTAATACTTTTACCAATTTTTCGACATTTTTACTAGAACTTTGTTTCGGTAACTAAAAACCTAGAAAAACTTTCATTTTTAAGTGAAAATAAGCAAAATCGGTTGCTTATGACGTTTTCTCTAAAAACATTTTCTGTAAAATTTTATTGCATCACTAAATGAATAAATATTTCCCTAATATTTATTCATTTTTATATTTTCTGAGGAATCTTTAGCGCCTTAATGTATGCTCATCAATTAAGAGTTTAAAAACACTTCTTAGTCCAATATCGGCAGATGGCGCTCGTTAGAAAAAGAATATCAGAAATATTTTTTGCGAAAAATTACGCTAATGATTAAAAAGGAAAAAGAATTTAATATTAAGCTATCCATAGTTTGCTAAACCATTTTAATATTTAATATAAGGCCAAATTGACCGAATACACTCTCTGGTTCAAGGAACAAGAATCCAAGACGCCACGACTCACCCAAGACCAGTGTTGATCAGACAATTGAACATCGATTAAACCAGCAACCAACCTCATAACGCCACATTAACCCCCAAAAAGTCACTACCCCAAGGTCGGTCCACGCTTTGAACAAACACCTCAAAATTTGTTTCGTCGAATGCCGGGGTCCCACCCTCCAAGCTGCGTTAGTGATAATTTACCCAATCATTTTAAACGAAATAGATTTGCTCTAAAATATACCTACAAGTCCATACAGCAATGTTTTCCAACACTAAAATGATTTACCTCTTAATGAATAGCGGAAAAGAAAATAAAAAGGTTAATAACAAAATTCGTTGCATACTTTTAGGGAATACCATATTCTTGACATTTAACTAATTTCCAACTCGAACTTGAAGTGTACTTCTAATTGGATCCCCACTTAATGACACAACAACAATAATAAATTGTTGTCTTGCCACTTCCCAAGACTAATTTTATATTCAAAAGACGTTGTCATTTTATATTGAATTAGCTTTTCGTATTTCATCTTGTTTGCCTTTTGCTTCCGTTTTAAGGCCAAGAACAACAAAAAAGAAGACACCAGCCCATGACCCGTGCGGAGAAGATGGTAGAGTTTATTATTTGTGGCCCGCAGCCAAAACTAAGATTAGTTAAATCATTTTTTTTTTCTTTTTTTCTGGCCAAGGTTAAGTAAACAACAAAAATATGACAATGTTGTTTTTTTTATTTTGGCGAAGACGTAACAGAAAAGAGAAATATTAAAAAAAGCAAAAGAAAATAATATAAATTTACACTGCCTTGGTCGCAGCGGGTCTGTGCCGAGGGGGAAAGAAGAAACAAAATGGCATGGCATGGCATCTAGGTCTTGTTTTAATAATATTAAATAACTCGCCTCACACCCCTTCCAAGCACATCTTTGGTTTAGGGTTTCTCAATGAATATTTGAAAAAAAAAAAGAAAGAACAACAAAACAGCCAACGAAAACCAATAAGCTCAAATGCAACAACACCAACAATCGGCCAAGATGAACGCTTGAGATTTCTAATCAGGTTATTAGGTTAAATATGTTGCCAAAGTACATAAATTAAGAAAATATATATGTATTTCTGTATGTGTGTATATATATGCATGCTGTGTTGTTTGTTTTCTTGACGTGATTGTTTTGCTTAAAGGGTCCACTTTTAATTTTATTTAACTGAGTTTTGAATGATTAATGTTTGGCCGGGGCTCCGATTGATTTCAAGCAGGTCATTGCTATTTGAACTTGTTTGTGGTTTAGAATTAAGTTATTTCGCTAAAGTGGAATTAGCAACGGAATTTTGTTTCTCTGGTGTTGTTTAATGAAGCTGAAAAACAAATCAATTTAAATACAATATTGAAACAGTCAAACCTGGACAAGAAATGTTAAGAAATTCAAAATTAAATTACGCAATAAAACACATATGGCGCGAATAGTAAGACTACTTGAAAAAATATTTTTAAATTTTGAAAAATAAATTGCCTACTTTAATTTCTCAGCATTCAATTTAAACAGTTTCCACTTTAATTTTCTACATTTACACACATTTCTAATTAAGTAGGTGTCAACATTTGCCCATTGTTTATCCCATTTCAATCTCATATCGAATTTAATGGCTTCTATTCATAACTAATTGCCAGTTAGCCTAGGCCAGGCACTGACGTTCGGTTGTAATTGATTTAATGCCATTAAATGCTAATTTAACACAATTATAAATATTTCCAATGGCAATTTGTTGCACTGATGTATGGGCCCGAATAATGTCATGAATTAGTTCGATTTGGTAATTGTTGGAAATTTTAAATGAGAAAGACGGCATAGAAAATCAATCACTTTGGAAAACATAATGGCTGATGATGTTAATTTTCGAGAGGATTGGAAATATTGGACGGATATTTTGCATTCAAAGGACAATTGGCATTTTTTTAAATTTGAAATTACGGCGGTAACCATAAAGATAGACCTATAAGAAATACAGGCTACGCATCATATTTTTAATCCATTGGATCAAAAGAGCATTGAGCAGACTCAATGATACCTCTCTCTCTCTCTCACACATACATCACATTCCAATGCCAACACAAACATTTTACTTCCCAGCGAATTTTTTAGCACATACATCTTCCATCTGAGACCAATGACAATGTAGGTGCGACCCATCCAAAGCCTGTTTACAATTCCTACTTACATTTACACAGCGATGGCCTAGGCCGTCAGACGAGTCCGAAATCTACCGACAATGTAAGCGAATGTTGGATGGGTCCGAAATCGACCGACAACGTAAGCGAATGTTGGATGGGTCCGAAATCTATCAACATTGTAAGCGAAGATTGGATGGGTCCGATTCCATCAAGATTTTAGATTGTGGAACTTAAATTCAGCTGTTTTTTATTAAAATATTCGTATTATAGAACAGTGTTCTCAACAATAAAATATTCTTATTATAATTGGAAATAATGCTTAAAAAATAAATTCATAAAACTTATTCAAAAGACGTGGGAAGAAACAAAGCTTAAACTAAAGAAAAACAATTAAATTTTTCCAGTTTTTTTTATTGTAGGACATTGTTCGGAAGTGTCTGGAATAGGGAATTTGAAACATTTTCTAATTTTTTTGTCGTAATCCTGTTCAGTTAATCCTCCACATATGACAGCTTCTAAAATAAGGATAGAAAATATAGAACAATTTTTTAATATTAAACAGTTATACTATAGAAAAGACCAATGAACTACATTTTAAGGTAATATAATATCACTTTTCAATAAATATGTAAGAAAAAAATTAACTTACCGGAAATGGCCATGTTTAAAAGTTTATATTCCTTAAACGCATTTTTATTTTGGGTGCCATCATAGTTGTAAGTTAATATTATAGAAATGTCAATAATCTTGCAGAAGTTTTAAATAAGGCCATCTAGTGAAATTATAATTTTTATTATACTAACCTGAAAATTATTAATGGATTATAACGGAGAGTTTTTAATATTCTTACATATCTTTCAAAATCTTCTACTATTTTGGAATGCATGGAATCTGCTCATTTAGTACAATATCATAGTTTTCCAAACAGTCCGTCCTCAACTGTGCATTTCTTTTTAAATTGTCTGCTTCCACTTTCTTTAATCGTCTTAAATTTCTCCTACTGAATCCTGACATTTTATTAAATTATTTAACACACAACACTTACTATATTCTTATTTTATTAATTTATTTTAATTTATTAACTTTTTTCAATATACACAACTTGCACTTTCAAAAACACTTCACAGAATAAAATTTTGCTTTAAAAAAGCAAGAAGCATCAAAAATGAATAACGGTACAACACCGGCTGCAACAACACAAAAAAAAAAAAAAAACTTTACAAAACAATACAAAGGCATCCGATTCAGATGCACATTTTATTATATTTTGTTTTGTTCTTTAATTCTAATATGGATTTTATTCCACAATGTAATAGCAATGCGACTCATCTAAATCGGATGCTAGTTGTATGCTATAAACCACTTTTATTTCATTTTTTCCTATTGACAAAGTAGCATACATTTGGATGGGTATTAAATTGTAATGGCAAGCGGACTGCTGGGTTATGAGTCATATGTTTCTTAAACTTACTCTCCATTTCTCCCCCTCTCGTTACAGATGATGCTCACCCAGCCCACACCCGAACAACGCGTCAGCATTCGCGAAGAATTGCGTGAACCCGAAAACCAAGAGGAAGTTGAACGTGACATTAAATTGATCCGTGAATGGCTCGACACCCAACCCCATTTGCCCAAGGACATGGACGATGTTCGTCTAACCAATTTCTTGCGCGGCTGCAAATTCAGTTTGGAAAAGGTCAAGAAGAAGTTGGACATGTACTATACCATGCGTACTGCCATTCCCGAGTTCTTCAGTGAACGTGATATTGCCCGTGAAGAATTGAATCTGGTCTTGGATTATGCGTAAGTTTCACATCCACCATAAGTTCATACGGAATTTTTAATCTTTTTATGGTATCCATTTAGACAAATTATCACTCTGCCCGGTTTGACATCCAATGGCCGCCGCATCACTTTTATTCGCGGTGTCGACTGTGATTTCCAAGCCAGCCAAGTCAACGATGCCATGAAGGTCACCATGATGTTGGGCGATGTTCGTCTGGCCGAAGAGTGTGTCGGCATTGCAGGTGATATTTTCGTTTTGGATGCTGCCGTTGCCACCGCCTCTCATTTTGCCAAATTCTCGCCTACCGTCATTAAGAAGTTCTTGATTTGTGTCCAAGAAGCCTATCCCGTTAAGGTCAAGGAAGTCCATGTCTTCAATACCTCACCCTTAGTAGATACCATCTTCAAATTCGTCAAGCCCTTCGTCAAGGAGAAGTTGCTCAGCCGTGTCCACTTCCATCCCGATTTGGAAAGTCTGTACAAGAGCGTGCCAAAGGATCTCTTGCCCGAAGAATACGGCGGCAAGGCTGGTAAGATCAACGATTTGATTAGCCAATGGAAGGCCAAGTTGGCCGATTACACTCCCTGGTTCAAGGAACAAGAATCCAAGAAATCCAACGAGTCCCTACGTCCCGGCTCACCCAAGACCAGTGATGATCTGTTCGGCATGGAGGGCACCTTCAGACAATTGAACATCGATTAAACCAGCAACTAACCTCATAACGCCACATCAACCCCAAAAAGTAGCTACTCCAGGGTGGATCCACGCTTTGGACGTACACCTCAAAACCTGTTTCGTTCGAATGTCTGGATTCCACCCTCCAGGCTGCGTTAGTTATAGTTTACCCACTCATTTCGTACGACATGTTGCCCAAATTGTTAGTCTTTAATGTTTGTTTTATATCTTTCGTGACGGTCCGCCGCCGTGTTGTACGAGGTGCTACCGTAAACTGACGTATTATAGCTTAATTGTGTGTTTTAGGTTTTTGTTTTTTGTATTAATTAAACATTGTATTCTTAGTTTGAAAACTTATTTGCCCTGGCTTTGCCGCTCAGTTCTCATTTTCTTAGAATTATTTGAATTCATTAAATCCATCATTCGTTCTTCGTTTTTTATAATTTTAATAAAGAAAAATATACCAAATAAATATCAATGGAAACTATGAAAATCGTATGGAGTTTTAATTTTTTTTTACGGAAAAGTATGGGAATTTTAATGAATTTTGGATGAGCAGCTGATCTCAATACTTACAAGCCACTTGCCTTATTAAGAAGGTTCGTAGTGATTGCCACTCATGCCCACCTCTTGTTTGTAGCTTACTGTTAATGTTAAGCAGGTTGTTTTATGCACTTCAAGAGAAGAGCAACTTTAAAAAAAAGAAAAAAAAAATAAGTACTTTGAGTGTCTGATACTCACAGTTTACATATTCGGCAAAGACAAACAATTATTAATACATAGGGTAAGTGTACCAGTAGTCGGCACTTTTAGGATTTTCGCGTTTTTAATCGCTCACCATTCTGAGTGTAACATTTCAATTATTACAAAGTTAATTTATTCAGATTCGAAATTTTGTATAGTTTTTGCAATAATAAATAAAGTTTTAATAACTTTCTATTAAATTTCATAAATTTGTAGTTTTATTAAAACAATGCTTTTTTGCCAGTAGACGGCACCACTTGCCAATTGTCGGTATGGCATTTTCCAACAGTCGGCATACCAATTTTTTTGTAAGAATAATTGATAATAATAATAAATTAATTCATTAAAATATAGTATTTTTGTTTAGTTAAACTGATTCGACGTCTTTATTGTACTTTTCTTAAGAATATGAATTATTGAGGACCTTCACAGACAAAAATTTAATTGTTATTAGAATAATTCATCTTTTCTTAGCAAAATTGTGCACAAAGATAGCTGACAATAAATTTGAAGTAAACAAAATACATTTAGTTATAATAGTTTCATTTATTTGGGCTTAAAAATAAAAAGTGCCGATTACTGGGACATGCCGAACTTAGGCACACTTACCCTATCACAAAAAAAAAAAACAAGAAAGAACACACAAACTCAAACAAAACAAATGCCACCACAAAATAACATCCTTACTGCTACGATCAAAAAGAGAGAGAGAGGGAGAGCTATTGATATAACAATACAAAATTGGTGTTCATTGTTTTGGGAGTAAAAGTTGCGATGTACCCTAAAAAGGCTTATAACTCCAAATTCATTTAAGAGGCTCATTTCTGCCGGTGGCTCAATGAAGATCTCTGATACATATCTAAAACATAATTTTGATTAGGTTCAAATCGAAAAGAAAGGTTTGAGATTCCATGAATAGTAAAATATTGGAGTCATATCATATGTCAATGTGAAAACTCAAACGGATTTGGTAATGTTCTACTTACTTAATACTGTCATCGTGTAGTTTTGAAAATTACATTCAAAATATATTTTTTAATATATTATGAGCATTACATAACATATCGATAAGAATCGATAAAATAATTAAGGTGAATACAAACGAAGTTATAAACTTCATTATAACCGACACATTATATAGGGTCCGTAGGCAATTTTCGCACACATTCGTCAACATTACAATGACTTCCAAAGTAATGGTTTCCCAGTGTTGTTCAAACCTTTAGGTGAGGTTAGACGATATATATTTACAATATAAAAACTGTAACTATCTCACACGTATACTCTCACTGTACATTGTGATCATCCTGATGAAAGGTAATTATGGTGGTAGAAAAGTATATGGATGGTGAGTATGTCGAATGGAGTCGTGTCGAGTATTTAACCAGACCCCGAAAAATTCTCGACTTCGACTGAGTTTCTCTCTTTACTCGGCTTCGCTTGAATAAAGACGAGCATGTTTTATTAACTTTAGAGCCGGAGCAAAGTTCGTTCAAAGCCGAGAAGATTCTACTCTCTTGATAGAGCAGGACTGTGGCATAATAGGCATTCAATCGTTTCATTTTCTTCTTCATCCTCACACAGCCTGTAGTATTCGACGTTAGAATTATCCCATTTGGACGTTCGTGATCGGATGTTGCAGTAGCCTGTTAATATCCACATTGTTATCCATAAAGTTGATTTATTCATACTTTATAGAGACTGTGTTCTACGCAAAGGGATATCTGGCCTGATTTGTTTTGCACCATGTTTCGTTGTACCACTAACAAAGAACAGTTTTAAGACATTGGCGACGTCAAGGTCTGTTGACTGTGTCCCCGTCTTTTCATTTTCCAAAATATTGCATTGACCGGGGCCTCAATTATTGTTCTTTGAAAATGTGAAATGATAACTTTTATAAGGGAAAGAAATGTCAAATGAACAATGTTATAAAGGAAATAGGGTAAGTGTGCCTAAGTTCGGCATGTCCCAGTAGTCGGCAACTTTTATTTTTAAGCCCAAATAAATGAAACTATTATAATTAAATTTATTTTGTTTGCTTCAAATATATTGCCAGCTATCTTTGTGCACAATTTCGCAAAGAAAAGATGATTTATCTAATAAAAATTAAATTTTTGTCTGTGAAGGTCCTCAACAATTCATATTCTTAAGAAAAGTACAATAAAAATGTCGAATCAGTTTACCTAAGCAAAAGTATTATATTTTAATGAATTAATTTATCCTAAAAGTGCCGACTACTGGTACACTTACCCTACTTTTCATTTCATATTTTAATAGAACAAGAATCCAGCCCCAGTTATTTAATAAAACTGGCCACTTGACTATACACATAAATAGTCACCGGTTCAGTTATATCATCCTCCATAGTTTTAATCAATTTTGCTGCCTTCATATTTGTCTTCCAACTTGTAGGAGTGGGTCATTCGTAGTTGCTCTGAGAAGACTCAGGCTCTCCTGCCTCTTTCCATCTTTGATCCGTCGGTATATATAGTTTTATTAAACCTTATGTTTGGAGATGTAATCGCTGTTCCATTCATGAGGGTTGAAGTATACTTATTTTTTAGAAAGTCTAGCAGGCTGGCATGACTTTGTTGTTAGTACAGCATATTCTGTACTGACCTGACTGACTTATTCAAACTTCGTGCAGCCAAGTACTGTATGCTAAGTTCGACCGGAGCGATGTTTAACATCACGTTTAAGAGTGCTTGGTTTAAACTTTTTGATACGTCAGTCATTAGAATTGAAATGGCTCCCTATACGCTTGATAATTTCGAGCTATTTAACTTGTATTCTAATGCGGGTCACCAGACAAAATTTTTTATAGGAAAGAATAGCCAAATCACAGATTTATTCATCCAGTTAGCGTCTGAGATTCTCCAGCTCTTTCGTATTGAATTCATGCAGGAGTGAAATGCAATAGTCATTCTTCACCTGTTCCACAACTTTTTTTTTTTCATCTTAGTTGACCGCACAAAATTGTGCTTGTGCCTATTCGTTCAGCCACATGATACAAGTGTAACCATTCACGAAATAAAGAAAAAGTTGAAAAAAGTCAGAATTCGGACCCTTTATTTTACAATTTCTATGGGAGCCAAGAATTCTCAGTCGAGACCTAATAAAAATGTAGGAACTTCTCTCTCTCCCATCTTTTGATTAATTTTAGTAAATTTATTTTCTAATTTTGAGAGATATTCATTTTTAATTGTGAAAACATTTCTCCTGGATACGACTGGAATATGAGGGGTGCCAGTCTGGGGATTGAATATTAAATATTGATATTGTAAATGTTGGGTCTCAGATCATTGTGTTTGTCTTTCAAGTCTGAAAAGAATAATAATAAACCAATAAATTTATCATGTAACAATTAAAAAAACATTAAATTTGGCTGGGCCGAACCTTTAATACCCCCCAACAATGGATAAAAAGAAAAACATTTTTATATAAAAATATCTGAATTCAAACGTAAATACCAGTAAGACCATTTGGATAATACTGTTAAACTTTCCAAAATATCATAAAGTGAATGAGGCCGTTTTATGGGGTTATACAAAAACGTGGACCTATACATATAATATTCGACACAGAAGCTGGAACCCATTATGACCAACAAATACCAATTTTTAGAGAAACCCGTGGAAAAATGTGGCGAAAATTATCCAAATACCGAATATTGGGAGGTACCGTTATATGGGATCTATACCAAAACGTGGACCGTGTATAATCCGCCACAGAAGCTAACCCCCATTATGACATATAAATACCAATTTTTAGACAAATCCGTGAAAAAATGTGACGGAAAGCATCAAAATACCGAATATCGGGAGATGCCGTTATATGGCGGACCTTCCTTTTCAATGTGGAGCGTATAAAAAGATCGTGAAGAGTTTTGTAACCCACCTTTGGAGATTCTTCGCACAATTCCTTCCATCAAGAAGTACCAAAAGATTCTGGGAGCGTCTAAAAGTATACTTTAAAATGGCTAAAAATAAATGCGAAAAAGTATACAGAGTGAGATGAAAATATTGCAACCAGACTGCTGTCATTTCTAAGCCACTCGTCCGACAACTGTTGAAATTATTCAATTTTTGAAATTCAAGCGTGATAGTGTGATTTCTTTATATTTGGCTGGAAAACCACAAGTGGCTATCGTTAGAGCACTTCAGCATTTAAATGTGAATAAATGTTTTGTGTCTCGTACTACCGCTCGTTACCGTGATACTGGTAGCGTAGCCCGACGTCAAGGAAGTGGACAGAAGAAAACAACAACATCAGCAGAAATGGTTCGAAAAGTAAAGAAGCGACTTGATCGAAACCCGCGTCGCAGTGGCTCGTGACCTGAACATATCGCAATATTCCATACAGAAAATAATAAAAAATGAGCTCGAGGTAAAGCCATTGAATGCAAGAACTTACATTGCAAAAGAAAGAAAATAGGCTCAAAAGACCTAAAGAGAAAATACCGCAGAGCAATATGTGGGCAGCGTTGACGGTTTCATTGGCCGTTTGAAGGCCATAATTCGTATCAAAGCTGACCAATTGGAACAAATCTAAAGTTATTATAAAATCTGATGCTATTTCCGACATTATTTGCTTTCATTCAATAAAATTTAAAAAAAAATGTAAAAATTTGACCTTGTTGCAGTTATTTTATTTCACCCTGTAAATACTATAATAAAAATGTAGTTTTCCGTTTTTTACTATTTAATGATTTTATTATTTATGGTACGTTCTTCTTCTTACTTGGTTGTA